CAAAGCGATGGTGATATAGATGGGGATGTTAATAGTAGAATTCAAGTTGGTTGGTTGAAGTGGAGGAATGCTTCGGGCCTTTTGTGTGATAGAAAAGTATCGCTTAGACTGAAAGGAAAATATAAGACGGTGGTGAGACCTACAATACTTTATGACGCTGAATGTTGGCCTTTAAAAGAGAAGCATAATAATAAGTTAAGTGTTGCCGAGATGAGAATGATTAGGTGGATGAGTGGCTTTACACTTAGAGACAAAATGCGAAATGAATATATCCGTAATAGGGTTGGTATAGCTCCTATGACATACAAAATTAGAGAAAGTCGTCTTAGATGGTTTGGTCACATTAAACGTTGATCATCTGATGATCCGATTAGAAGAGTAGATGTTTTAGATTCGACTTGTGTTAAGAAAGGCCGAGGTAGACCTAGGAAGACTTGGGCTTATTGTATAAAAAGTGATCTTAATTTACTAGACCTAAATAAAAATATGACACTGAATATGACGCAATGGAGAAAAAGGATTCATGTAGCTGACCCCACGTAGTGGGATTAAGGCTTTGTTGTTGTTGTTGTTGTTGTTTGAATTTTCAAATATCAACAATTAGATTTGATTGTTTTAGAAGATAATTTTGTCTTTGTAACCTATTTTTATAAATAGAGATTCTTGGATTATAATTTTGAATAGTTGATGATTGATTTGAAACTTTATCATTATTTCCTCACTTTCACTTTATTGGTAGGCGTCAGTTACCTTTTCCTTGAAATCTATGATCACTTTGACTTTTTGAGCTTGTTTGTATGTACTCAGACAAAGTTGTACATAACTGCTTGGAATGTTGCAAAGAATACTTAAAAGCACACCGAGCGACACAAGAGGTCACATAAAGGCTGAAATCAATATTTTTTCTCTGATCCTGTGGTCCTAATAACTTTAAAATGTATTATTATTTTTTGACATCCAAATAACTATCTTTAGAAGTGCTTGATAATTATATTATTATTAGGTGGATAAGATAAGGATATTAAGTAAGAAAAGTATGAGTAGCTTGCATTTAGATCTTTTTTCATGCTATACTACCCAAGGTATTTTCTTTCATTCAAATAAGTGAGGATTACTTTGATTCATTTTATGAAATTATGATAAGATTTAATTTAAATTAGGTTTTTTTTTAGATTTCGTTGCATATTATAAATAGACACTATCTTGCGATTCTTTTATAGTTGAATTGATGGTAATTTGAATAATATTTCAATATTCCTTCCAATATAATCTTCCTTTCTGTCTCTACGTAGGACATGCCCCTAGCCTCCATAAACATTTCATTATGTCCTACCAAACTATCTGTACCTTTCTCTCTAGAATATCTACCTCCTTACTTTCTCTAATTTTCAAAAATTCAAAGGAGAAGGGAACTTAACAACTAGTAAAGGAAGAAAAAGAAGAAGAAACTTTAAGGAGAAAGATGTAGGGGAAGATCAAACAAAGGTGAGACCATCATACACTGAAGATATAATTTAAATTCTTAAGTTGTTAACCATCCTTCTGCTAGATTTATTATCTCTTGTTGTCTACTAACATGCTTCATATATGTTTAGTCTATCTTCTATATATTTGCTCGAGTTTAAGGAAGGCCCTAGACTTTGTTGAGGCTTGTAAGTTGCA